AGAGTGACATCCCTACTGGAGGAGTGTACTAAGTGGAATCTCTCTATCAGCGTGGTGAAGAGCTATTGGGGGATGCGCAAAGTGGATTACTTAGGTCATCGAGTCTCCAAGGAGGGGTTGCAGGCGAATCCTAAGGACCTGTCTTCGTTAAAAGACTTGTCCTTCCCACAGTCGTTACGGGCGATGCAATCCTTCTTGGGCAGTTTGAACTACTACAGTCGGTTCATTGAGGATTAAGCACTGTTTGCTGCGGTACTATATGAATTGAGAGAGGTAGATTTTGCTGCGATGACCACTACAGCTGTCCGGATCAAAATCCAACAAGCTCTGGCCCTCAAGATGTCAGATCCACGAAGGGATCCAAGTAGTACGACGCCAGAAGTAGACCTAAAACAGGAGCTGGATCCACCCCGGGACCAAAGGAGAGAGGATCCAGTCTGGATAGAGACGACGGATCAGAACATGGAACAGGCAGAATCTCGGTGGATCCGAGCTCAACACGGATTCGTGGAGCTGAGGAACAGGATCGCGACCACGCCTATCCTCCGTCATTTCGATCCAGAGCGTCAACCTACGGTGATAGTTTATGCCAGTGACTGGGCGGTCTCAGCAGCCTTGGTACAAGAACATGAAGGGATCTGTCATCCAGTCACCTTCGTCAGCCGGACGCTAAAGCCAAATGAATTGACCTACGGAGTGGTGGAGAAGGAGATACTCGCGCTCCTGCGCGTGTTGGATCTCAATCACAACCTGCTGGTGGGAAGATCCATCCGGATCCTGACTCGATACTCTACGCTAGCTTGGTTGTTCAAGTCGGCCGGTTTACAAGGACGATTGGGACAGTGGGCAGCTTTACTCTCGCCTTGGACACTGGAGATTGTGAAATGCTCGAAAGGGGAAGACGAGATCCTGGGAGTTTTGGCCGCGAGCATCACACCTCGAGCTAAGATGGTTGAAGCACTGACTAGGATCGCTCCTAAGAAAGAGCCCAAACGCCGGATCCCGATCCCGATCCCGACGGTACAGGTGGATGAGGATCTATACGTCCTGAGTTTCGATGGATCCGCTCGTGTACGACGCGGAGGAGGAGCATACAGTGCAATACTGTGGAGATTGCCCGGATGGGAAGTTGTACGGGCCAGATCCACTTACGCGGAAGGCCTCACCGTCAATGAGGCGGAGTATAACGGACTCCTTCTGGGTTTGGATTTACTAAAAGGGACAAAGATCCAAAAAAGGCTGGTGATTTGTGGGGATTCAAATTTGGTAATCAGACAGGTGCGAGGCGAGATTGACTGCAAGGCCCCGGTCCTAACACTGTTACGGCAGAAAGTGATGATCCACCTGCGTGGATGGTTGAATAACGAGTTGGTGCATGTCAAGCGAGATTGGAATGCCAGTGCAGACAGCTTGGCCAGTGCCGCTTTACGGAATCAATGTGGTGTCGAAGTGGAGAGAGAAGCCGGGCATCAGGATCTCGTTACATTGAACCGACTAGACGAAGTGGTGGTAGTTGGATCCAGGAAAAGAACAGTCCAGGTGATGGCCGTCACTAGGTCCAGAGGAAGGATTGGATCCAGCCCCCAGATCCTCGAGGCAACATTTGTGAAGGGAGTCCGTATTGAACGGATCCTCAAAGCACAAAACGAGGAAGCGTGGATCTTGGGACTAAAGAAGTATCTGATGGGGGATGTACGAGACCTGAGTCGGGAGGATACTAAATCCTACAGTATTATCGCTACGGATTACGCAGTGGATCTGAATGACTTGCTCTTCTATTGCCCCCCCCCTACGAAGAGAGTCAACGAGGATCGGGATGGATTGATGAGACTGGTGATGCCGGAAACCTTACAACAGGATGTCCTACATCACTATCACGCTAGTTTATAAGGTGGACATCAGGGTATTGGTCGGACCTACCAACCGATCCGGGAATGTTTCCACTGGAGGGGACTATTCAAGAGCGTGCAACAATATGTCGATGAATGTGTGGATTGTGAGACAGGCAAGGGCAGGCCCACAATCGAAGGGTAATCACCTGGGAATGTCCAAGCGACTTACCCTTTCCAAATCATAGCCATGGATCATATCCCCTCGTTGCCAAGTCGTTCAAAAGAAACACAGAATTGTTGATTTGGGTGGATCTGTTTACCGGATACGTGGTAGCCAAAGCAAGTTGATCGATACAAGCGAGAAGACGAGCTGCACTCGAAGCAGATAATTTCGCTTCGAGTCCAGTTTCAGCGTCACCAGACTCTCTGTATTGGCAATGCGATGTTGCAGCAGATCGGCTGTCGTCCGGGTGGAGAAGATATCTTGGAGGTAGTTTTCAATCAGCACTTCAGCTTCCTCCGAGTCGAAGCTATAGAGATCCGACAAGAGGTCTGGAGTCTCGTAGATTTTGGTGAGGTAGAGTAGGCGGAGGTCTTCTTCGTTGTCCAGCAACTCCATCAACACACGACGCACTCCATCCACCTGAGACTCAAATTCGTTCATCGTGTTCTTGAACTCACGTAGACGTTCCAGCTCGTGTGAGTCCAAGTTGCCTTGAACGAGGTGCTCGAGGTCGGATACAATAGCGGGAGACAACTGATCATACTGAGCTCGAAAGTATCTTGCAAGTGTCGCTAGCAACGCCTCCAACGCTCTGCATAAAGACAAGCATCCTTCAGTGACTGTCCATGCCGGGTTTCAATAGTCGTGATCGATGTTTTACCTGAACTCGAAAGGAGCCTCTGCATTGTCCCGTGCATTAGTCAGGAAGTCCTGCTTGAGCATGGAGATCAAACTGTCCGCTCCGTCAGGAACGTAAACCAAACAGGCATCTCGCAGAACGATCGCGCGCAAAGGATCTACAGGGATGCAGCGATGGTTAATACTGCAGTAGTAAATAGTCACAGGACATTCCATTATCGTACCAGCGCTAAAGAAAATTGTTTGTTTGCGAAGGATAATGGACGGTTCGTTGGATGCTGAGAACGCATTCTCCATCCTGCGAATGTCTCTGGCGTGTACGCGCTAACAGTAAAGCAAAAGTCAGCTCAATGCTTAACATCGCCGCTTGAAGGATACTCGCACCTGGACGTCACAGACTCCATCTAGCCCTGGTTGAGCCTGTACATGTCCACTCGCTCGCCGACCTGTTCCTGGCCTTCGGTATTGAGACGGTTTAGCAGGAGACTCACTTCCAAGCTTTGCCGCTTCTTGTGTCATGCGCAGCACATCCAGTCGACTCATTTCCTGCAGAGTCGAGCTACCGTCACGAACGAACAGCAGCATTAGCAGTCTTCCTTTCCTCGTCACGGGGTCGAATCGACAGAAGAATTTGCTTGGAGAGTGGGAAGCACTGACTTCACTCGTCTCCATTGGTGTGATGTCAAGGTCGATACAGAACCTCGATCTCGGGCTCATGTCATGTTCGGATGCCGTCGTCGCCATAGCTGCTTCCATTGCTATCGCTGGCTGCAATACAGCACTGGAGCTTGACATCTTCCGTACCATTGCGGGGACGGAGAAAAATATGCCTTAGACGACCAAAATGTAACGACCACGCATGGCAAGACCAGAAAAAACTCGTAAACTGGAAGGCCATACAAACAGTTCACAATGGTCACAATCTGTTCCCGGGTCGCGGCACCAGTTGTGGTGTTGGAAATCCCACGTGAACTCTAGATACAAATGTAGTTAGGATGTTCCCACAGCAATACGTCTACTATGATAGTAAACGATCGTTCGGGCGGACCTGAAGACCCCAGTTCTGCCCTTGCACCGGGACAAACTGGACCTTGTAAACTACTTATATAGGCCAACCAGTAAAATAAGAACACGCTACTAGCACGAGCAAAGCTAGCAGGTGTTTTGAATCCTCGTGGTCCCAACAGCGGAAGGGTACCAGGCACGGGGTAAGCCTTTTACGAGATCACCGAGTGTTCAACACTCGGCTGGAAGAAATAAAAGGGAGGCAATTCAAGCACTCCCAGTCGTGCAAATAGGCAACAAAAGGCCGTCACGTAAAACCTCCCGATAATAATCGGGCCAATACACAAAGTCTCTTGGCCTTGCCGGATGAACCCTCGCTACAGAGCTTCGAGCTCACCGACAGGCATAACACACTCAAACAAGCTTGACCTGACGCTTACCTTGAAGCCGGACGTCGCTCTGTGTGCTTGAGTGGAAATTCTGTTCTGTATTTAAGCTTACCCTTTCGGGTCTATTCCTAATAAGAAGTCCTAATTAAGTATACAAATATCAAGTGAACAATGATCCGTTATGGATCTTCTTGCATGCCAAGCGTCGTCTGCGCCGTCGCATGAGCATATATAACGGTACGCGGCCTGTCCCGGTCGGAGAACAAGTCTTCCAAAGTACGCTGAGTATATCGCGAGCTCCTGCCGCCGACCCCTGAAGGCAGGTTACGCAGATGGACCGCAATGTAATATGTACGGCCAGTCCATCGGCAGTTATAAGAACATCCCCGCTTTAGTGAAATATGCCCGTATGCAATAGTGATTGAACGGAAGGAGGTGACTACGTCGAGTCCACAACAACTTGGCGTCTCCTTACATCATCAAGCCACGGGTTCTTGGCCAGAACAT